CCCTAAATCTTGCGAGATGTCCAAAGACTATTAGATAAGTCCGGACTTATCTGCAGACTGAATTATCTGATAGGATATCTGTGAGATTTTAGAGTAATATCACTTTTTTGTTTCAATCAAAGGGGTACCCGCACACGCCTCCCAGCGTTATCTGGAAAAGGATAATATCGTCGGGCTTGACATACGATAATATATGAGGGGCCGTTTGCCTGTTGGCCGACATGCTCTCTCGCACGTGCGCAAATGAGATAAGTTCCTGAATAAATAAAGACTGCAGCTGTTGTAGACATAGTGAATTTATCCCGATCAAAAACATCCTTCCGTAATCAACAAAAAACGGTGCCCGACTCAGACCCTTGCACATCTTGACATCTTATCTTCTTATATATAAAGCTGAATGTCTGTTTGTCTGTCTGTATGTCTGTCTGTATGTGTGTACGTATGTTCCGAATAGAAAATTCCATTTCTGAACCGATCGGGACCAAACTTGGCACATATACACTTCGGGCCCCGGCGGGTGTCATAGGCTACTTTTCGTATCGATCGATATCGATTTTATCGATTTTTTGCAAAATTTGAGCTACGGGGCTGAGAGTTGGCACAGGGGGGTAATCGAGCATGCTGATCACCCCCACGGGGATGATCAGCATGCTCGATTACACCCCTCTGCCAAATTCCAGCCCCCTAGCTCAAATTTTGCAAAAAATCGATAAAATCGATAAAAGTAATGCACGGTTTCGAAAACTAATATTGTATTCGTAATCAGCATGCTCGATTACACCCCTCTGCCCACTCCCAGCCCCGTAGCTCAAATTTTGCAAAAAATCGATAACATCGACATCGATCGATAACGAAAAGTGGACTGTGACACCCGCCGGGGCCCGAAGGGTATGTGTGCCAGGTTTGGTCCGGATCGGTTAAGAAATGGAATTTTCTATTCGGAACATACGGCGAAGCCGGGTAAGCCAGCTAGTTTCCAATAATTCCCTTGCACATAAGTAGACTAGCATAGCGTATCCTTCAAAGACACAGGCGTGTTAGCGTTGAGTAAACAGTAAACAAAAAATGGGTTAGAAGACGGCGCACACGTTGTAGGGAGGGTATCAGTAAACAAAACATTCAGTCAAACTTTTGCAATGCCATTGCTGTACTCTACAGTCTTCACATTGTGGGAATTTTACTAAGTTTGAAAACTTACCCAGTCACACAGAGGTGGCTCAAAACCAGCAGTGTCGTTTGCAAAAAGACGGAATTTAGAGTGACAATGGAAAAAGTCATCTACAGACTCACCGTGCTTCGACGGGAGTGAAAAAGATCCTTTTAGACGATCTTAATTCATAGTAACATCGAAGGCTCTCGGGGTGCTGCAGCTGTGAGATTCCAAGGCCTCGGGCATAGTTCAAGCGATTTTGCCTCCTCGCGATTCTCCTGACAAGACAACTGTTACGAGTTCATTGCGTGTCGATCACCTTGCATTTCGGTTGTGATATTTAGTCACGACTAATCGTGTCGAAAAACTATCACAACCGAAATGCGGGAGGATCGGCATATGATGAACCCCGTAATAGTTTTCTTGCTGAAGAATCGCGAGGCGATGGAATCGCGTGAAGTATGCCCGAGGTCTAAAACATCCAAACCACAGAACTGAGAGATATATTATGTGAATATGTTGCTTTCAACCTATGACATACTCATTCACATTCCATACCAGGCCTTCATACCTTTCGTAATGGTCAAACTTTGTACCACTCGTTTTAGCGCCTATTATTAGCTCCCAATCACAAATTCTTTCCACATTCACAACATCGCTATCGCAATAAATCGTATAGTAAACACTAAGCCATTGAAACAGAAATATTTTGCACATGTATATGTCGACAACTATCTCGAAACAACTGTCGATGACGTCGTCACGACACGCTTCAAGCGTGTTTTGATCGCAGGGGTTTGAATTCAGATAAACAGATAAACATAGTTGTAATCAAGATCTGTGCGTTCTGTGGACTCGGTGCTACTATAGTTTCGGCGTCGAGAAGCTTACGATCAAGTCTTAGCGGATAAAAGCGTAACCAGCACTTTTACAGATTTCTCAGAATTTTGCAAATTTTTCTTCTCGTCTTCTCACCCCTGCCCGATCGAATACAAATCCAATGATAGATACGCATCAATAAAGACCAAAGCAGTCTCTGCGCGTTACTGCTGCTGCTGCTGATGCTACTGCTGCAATTCGGGGTGATTGATGGTCGAATGCTGTTCGCCCCCTCCCCCCACGACATCGTTCGCCTTACCATTTTGTTTACGGGCATTTCCGGTACATTGCATGAATGGAGTTATCTATGGAATCACCATATCTGACTGTTACACTACACACCATCTCTGGATTTCTTCGCGGAACGACTAGAATTGAACTCTCATCGGAAAAAATCTAATCAAGTTCTGAGATGGCTTCAAGGCCGTTTATAGACATAGATAAGCTTTAATGATGACTAAAGGATTGCCTTAACTCCTATCACAAAGAATAAAAAAGCTAACTACTTGTGATAAGACAGCGCTCTTTGCCCTACGATACGAAACTGAGACAGCTTTTTGTTATCGCACTTTTTCAAATAAAGTCGTACCATGCCCCTTCCTCTAAAAAAGTAACAAAGCTTCCGACAAGGTAGCTTCTTCTGAGGACAAAGTCCACTGCGCTGACATCACCGGCTTTCCATCGCTAGTGTAAAACGACAACTATTCTGACATATTCGTACGCAGCGCTATTTCCTTCCTCGTTTCAAAATGAGTTCCTTGCCAGGCATTTGCGAAGATTAGAAAAACTAAAAAAACTTATAGAACACTCAGATATAATGTTAATTTTGGGGGGGGGGGCAATCATATGTCACAAGGACAATGAGTTTAGACAAGGACAAAGGTCGAACATTATGAGCATGAGGTGATAAGAAGCGATGATGCGAACAGTAGCATTTTCGTTGTAAAATAACTGACAATGATGTGAAAATGTACAAAGAGCGCATTCATGGTACAGAGGGTACATTATAGTCCAAAGTCCTTAACAGAACGTAGCCCCCTGAGCTGTTTCATAATATCAGTTGGGACGATAATTCTTTTACATCAATTTCGAATTCACTGCCTTAATTTCTCAACGGATTTGCTTGCATATTCTAGGAAGAAGGAAACATGCGCTTCACAACTGCATGTACTTGCTTCCCAATACGCACAGAGTAGGCAGAAGTGGAAAAAGAAAATCATTCAAATTTTAATCCATATGATTGGTCATAAAAAATCTAAAATTTGCAATAAAGAACGAAGCAGTCAGAATTATAAAATCCTCGCATTACTTTTATTACTCAGCAAAGTTGGCACTGACAGATGCTTTTATGAAAAGTAATGATTTTCGAAAGAAAAAACGCCGAAATTCAGGTTTGCGTTATTATACTGCTTGCTCAAAAATCACAACTTCTCGCGGTGGCCTTCAATTAGTACAAACTTTGCCTAGTTGAAAGAATTAGGCTATGAAAATCTAAATACTGACTGCTCCGATTTTTTTTGCAAGTTTTACATTTTTTATGGCCAAACGCAGGATCAAAATTTGAATGATTTCTTCAATTCTATCTGAGCAATATGTCTATTAGGAAGTGTGTTGCATAGAACGCATAGTTTCTTTTCCAAATAAATAAAAACTTGCAACCGTTAAGAAATCAAAAAGCTACGAATGATTCAGAAGTTTCATATCAATCCAAATAACGGCGATAACTGATCAGCAGAAAGTACAGATCTTCTTACAATAAGTTCGAAAACTACTTAGCTTCCAAAACTTGTACCTTTTTTCCTTTTTCACATAATCTTCTCCACGATGCTTGCAATTGCATCACTATTCAAAAGAGAAGATGTTGATATTATACAGCAAAACAAATATTTGCATTGAATCTCTGTGCAAGCACCCCCACCAGCAAACTCGACCAGGAAGAAAAGTTGTTTATGTCATCTATCAGGCAACTTGTTTTCGTCTCAGTAACGGTCGGCATGTCCCAGGTACGAGATGAACTCCTAAGTATTCTGTGTTCAAAGGGACATGGTACGGACGTTCATTGTGGAATATACTCATTGAAACCACTGATAAGTTTTGGTTTCGATCCATGAATAGACAAAACAAGCATTGGATGACTAGACTACATTGTAGTTTCGTATGGTACAAAAATGTAGACATTTCAATCACGCGCTCTACAACTTTAGAGATAACAGGGATTTTGCAAATTGCGACGGTGTATAGAGTTTATAGTACGCTAATGTGAAGTCCCTGGCGATGTTTCCTTTTGTTGACGTATTTTGTTGTAAATTTTTATTCTTGATCTGGCTTTCTTGCGTGTCGCTCAACTCTTCCATTAAACCCTAGCGAAATTATGCAACCCGGCTGTCAGTCACACTGTGCCTCCGCTAAGACAGCGTAAAAAATCCGCGAGAAAACAACTCGAAGCGGAACCGAGATTCTGTTATAGGTATTGTTTGTTCCTGCTTATCCGTAGTCAGAGCCTGATTTCATTAGAGTTTGTTGGGAGTTATCCCCGCAACCTCGCTCTCTGAATTTTCGCTCTAAACGTCGTTACTAGAAGAACGTTCCACTGCACCCCGTTCCCACTACTGCAGTGAGAACATTGTTGGTATGACGATGCAGGTGACACACATGTGAATCTTACTTCTTGGCTATTCTGTAAACAATAAACAAATTGTGTTGGTGCAGAGATAAAGCGATAGCAGCAGCGTTTTGCACCCGTTCTTTTGCCTTTGCACACACACAAGGAAATAAAGAATTACTAGGCTGCGCTTGACATCAAAACAAGGAAATAAAAACAAATATCTTGGACCTTAGCCGTACAAGGTTCCAAGTGTATAATTCTTTTTTTAGATACCTGGTTTAGAATCAAAATAGCTATGATCACTATTCACTGAACAGAAACACAACAGACCTGGACAAATTTCACGTGCATGACCACAGATCCCCATCACTCACTGCCACAGAAGATAGCCTCGATGACCCTGCGATGTTGCAATTATATGACCCGTGTCGGTCAACAAAAGCCCGTGAGTGGACGTACTTTGCACCAGAAGGAGTATTCACGTGCTGCACGTGCACTGCATATTTAGTCCGCGGCACTAAACTATTGGTTGTCGGCATAATTATCCATAAGTATAATTAAGGGATATGGTGACGGGTTGAGGTGTCACATATGATCAATGAGGGAGCCGGCAGAGGTAATCAAATTGTAAGAAAAGAACTGAACAGGAAACCTCCATACCTTCCTTCGTGCTAAGGAAGAGAATGGGTGCAAAGCCGAAGAAAATTCTTGGTCTGCAAGTCTAGAAATTCTTCGAACTTAGGTTGAAGTCATTAGGCACAAAAGGAGCAGGAGGTCAATCGCACCAGGTCTAAGTTTCCCTGAAAATAGATATTTCGTCTAATTATTTATTTTCGTAAGCGATTGAATAACCTCAATTGTTGGAGCTATTCACAAATAAGGATTTTGGCCAAAACCTAGCTACAAGTAACGTACGATGCGTTGTCCTGGAAAACAGATTAGCAATAACTCCGAACACTCCCCTACCCCCCCCCCCGCTCCCCCCCCCCCAAATCCTGCAAAAGCTAGATAATTTTGCCCGCAAAACAATGAACTGGGTGCAAGCCGCGTTTTTTGCGTCCACAAAGAAGCAGAGATAGCGTCGCTCTCTGCGTCTCTTCCACGTCCAACATGTTCTCCGCCACGCTGACGCGTCAGCACGTTCGCAACTCTCATGCGTAGGCACACACCATCGCCGTCGTCGGCCCCGGCACCGCCCCGATCACCCGGGGGTTGGGCCATGCGGGTATATAAGCGGACCGGATCGCTTCATTCTACGGTTTAACGCCGTTGCACGTGCTATCTTCGCTAATTGCATGTGCATTTGATCTGCTATTGCTTACTATTTGTTGCGAAAACAAACGAACTTTACGACTACAACGAAGCATGATGATGGAACCTTCCTCTTCTCATTGCATGGAAATTGAAGCTTCTACAAGCCGTTCGAAATGCCAGGTAATTTTCACCCTTGATTCGCGGTCGTTACGAAATTTGATACAAAGAAGAAAGATCAAATCTTGGGTCCAGCCTATCCTCCCCACTTTACCTGCGCTCCCAGAGAGATCATTGTCATGGCTTTTTGCCCGTATATGGGTGCCGTCTGTGATCAATGAAGAGAAATTCACGCGCGGCTCTATATCTTGCTTCCCTTTTGCTTTTTTAAAAGCGCTTGGTTTCCGATTCTTGTGAGTATTGCACCTGTCAGTGTTTTTATGTATGCTTATCATATCATGATTAACGTCACTGGCATGCAATTTGCGGAGGCGGGGGTTTTAATTCTGAATATCAACAAGAAAAGCAGGCGAAGAATATATAAGGTGTCATTTCACCCAGTCGAAACATATTCCACTTCAACCTTTGCTGTCCATAGTGCTGAAATGTCTCCTTTCTCAAACTTCACTTTTGCAGATGGCCAAATCTGACATGACTCAAGTCGTCGCGCTGGCAGTAATTAGTCGACTACACGACTGGTGCATACAATTGTTCTGGATTACGATTTTTTGTGTGCTGGGATGTTGCGGTGACGAGAAATCACGGACATCTATCCGACAACTACATGAACGACAACAACAGCAACAAACTACCCGAAAACGTACGAACATAGCGGAAATTGAGCAAAAGGTTGGTGCTACTCCCATACTTGTTTGTTATCGTCTGTCTCTTAGGTTTGTTTTCCATGATGATAGTGGTGATATGGTGGTTAGAAGTTACTTGTTAGCGCTATCTGCACGTGATTGCTTTACGAACGAATCAAAAATTCTCGTCGTAGATTCATTTGTTTGGTAGGGGACGTCTTGCTTTGTAAAAAAAAACGGTCTCTGCTCAGAGCAAGCATGCCCCATCATCCATACTTCATTTGGTAACTTCAAGCTACTAAAAATTTGTTTTTAGCTCCTCCGCCACATCACCTCTCCTCTACTATCGAATCTACGACCGGTGACGAAGTCGTCGAAGAAGCGTGCCGCTTCGCGACCACCTTCTCCACAACTGTTCGACATTGTGGAAGAATGCGAGGAATAAAAACCCCATCACTCATATCCCCGACCTTCGCTCGTATCTCCTATACCGATCGACTCCCTTCCCCATAGGTGCCTTTTTTTCCGCGACAAATATGTCGCAACTTCGCCGATGAAATACGTGTACGATGCAGCACTCGCTTGCTGTGCCGACCTTTGTAATATCTGAAGCTCTTTAACTATTTATTATTATGATTGTTATATATACTGCTGATTGTTGCGTGATATCTTTCTTATACCATAGATATCTGATTTCAAATCTGGTCTATTCTGTGAATAGTCATTTGAAACAACCTAACTCTTGCTTAGGTATATTTGTACAAATTTCTATCAAGTCGGTGCCAGTTTACACATGCATACTGGACCAGAATAAACAGTTACTGTTTATATATCTGTTTATGGAATCAGATAAGCAAATTATGGACTGAAATCTCACTGAGTTATCAACACGAGCGGCAAACAAACCGTTATTTCAAGTTATTCGGGATTTTGTAATGCCCGTCTAATATTTTTTAAAGCTTTGAGCAGGAAAGTATAGTCGATTCGTTGACCGCACGGACTAGGTATCAGTGCGGAGCACGCGCCGCGAGGTAAAACGCTTGCTCCAGTACAAATTCGCCATTGCACAAGTAGTGCTTTCGCGACATTTCAGCCGCGCCGCGCGCGGTCCGCAGCGTTAGAGCAGTCTGTGCGGTCAACGAATCGACGATAGAGAAATCCATTTTGATCAAATTCGGAAGCACTGAGAGAGAACCCATAACAGGCGATTTTTCGCAACATCCATTTTTTGCGACAACAACAGGCATTTATGTCAGCTGGTATCGCAGGTAGTTGGTTGTTCCTCAAATACTCTATTAGTACCTATTGCCGTACATCGTAGCACAATGATATTTTTTTTTGCAATCATAGCGGGCTTAGTGGGTGGTCTTGTGATGGCACAAAAAGTGATGATTAAATGGTCGGCTGATTTACAAAAACCGCACATTTTTAGTAACACTTTTATTGAAACCGGATTTAAAACAGACAGAAAACAGCGGTGTTTTTTGTTCGGCACGCGGAAATACCAATTTCACGGCACGTGGTCGCGTTATAAGTGCAGTCCATCAAACGATTTTTTCTTCTGACACATACTTCCGATAAACAGCAAATGTCATATTATCGCATTATCACTGACAACGAATGGTTCGGAGTAGAAAACCACCATTATTCATTTGACAGCGTCACAAGGCTATCTTTAAAGGGCCGGATTTGTAAACTGATAACCTTACGTGTCTTGGAATTTTTTACATAAAAGAAAACATAACAAAGATTGTGAAACGCTTTTGAGTCATCAGGTAGTCGAAAATAGGGCAGAGCACTCACTTGTGGCCGAAGCAGGAGAAAAAACTATCTATTAATTTATTACTTCCAAAATTTGCAGCTAAAAATCTACAAAATGCGCAACATAATCCGATTGAAACGAGGCATTGCAAAATGCATTTTCGATGCAATCGAGCAAAAAATATAAACGAGGGTAGTCCCAATATTATTATAGTAAACTGTCCAATCTTTATCTCGCTGCCCCAGGCAAATTTTTTCGGTTTCCATCATATCACTCTTGATTTCGCAAGCGACGCTCTTATCTTACAGTACCCGGATTTTTTGTCTTTACAATTTCAGGTTCGAACAGGTAGCTTGTTGTGGTCTCCAGCAAGCAAAGGACCCGTCTCCAATGCATTCGCCTACGATACATGAAATTGGCAATATACAGGGACGATGTCTATGTACGCAATCAATTAACTAATAAAACCAACCAATCCTGCAAAACAAGAGCTACAAAATTTGAAAGAGAACCTGCTGTGAAACAAATGCAATAAAGATAAGACTTTGTCACATGATGATTGCGAAAAAGTGCTTATTATATAACTTTTTGACGATTTCATGTTCGCATAACCTCCTGGTTAGGATTTATATTCCTCTTTGTTACCTAGAGCTGGTTGAAACTACTTAAAATACTGCAATTGCAATTTTTGCCATTAGTAACTGGAGTTCGACATAGAGACTACACTCAATTGTGGGAATCGTTGATTACTTGTTCAATTGGCATCTTGCAAGATTATATATGCCCCCTTGGCACTTTTCTAGCAAAGCAATCTGTCCTTGCAATTGCCGTTTACTCAATAGAAAAGAAAAAATCATGCATAGAAAAAGAGTTTTTCAGATATCAGCAGTAATCATGCATTGTTAATGACCTAGCAGCAGATTCTCAACAATCAGAGGTTGATTTTTACTTCGAAGTGCGTGCTGGCTCTCATCGCACAAGCTTCTAGGTGGATCACTATATTTTTTTGGTTTTGAAAAATCATTGGAATCGCCGTTCAAAATGAAAATGATTTGCGACAGTCCTGCTTTCCTACCTTTATTGTGAGCGTTAAGTCATGACTGTGGATACAGCGGTACTTTCAGTCTCCCTTTGAACAGTGTGCTGTTTTGACCAAAGGTGATAAAAAAAGTTTCTATCTAGATCCTATGGAGAAAAAATGTTCTACAGCTAATACGCTCGATGGGATTCCCACAACTAAAAAGTTCTACACAAATCACGGGTAACATAACTACCAGTACAAGTGTTCGGTACTTACCACCATTCTGGCTTATTTTCAAACCGACGATGTTGAAAATCTTCAATGAAAAAAATGCACATGGTTCATTAGGTAGCTAGTTTCGCAAGCGATGACGTTTCTTACCAAAACATTATTCTTTTGGAACATAAGTCTTGCACCAATATTTTGAATTCCATAGTCTCCTCCAGGTTCTCTGTTTAGAATAATATAATTTAGAAGAAGAAAACCTTACTATTTTTAAGCTTTTTTAAGCAAGAGTCACCATTGTCATACCAAGAGAACCTGTTTTAAACGCAAACACTCGAATTGCGTTTTTTTCCAATTTTTTCATCCCCAAGAATGACGGGAAGACCAAAAAATTCTAAATTATTTTTTATTTGAGTTTTATGATCTACACTTTTTATCTAGGATGTAATTGCGCTAGTAGGACGTTCCTACGAGAAGTGTATTTATCGAATTCCCAATTTCAAGTCTCGCTTTAGTCTATACGATAAAATATGTAGTGCACAAATCAAAGCAAGAAAGAATTCTACACAGCGTGAAACACTACTCTGGGCATTTTGTAATGGATTTTTTTTTGGAATTTTTGGTGCAAGGCTTATGTTCCAACCTAATAGAAATAACACATTTTAAAAGCATAGCAGATGGTTTCTAATCCTGTTAGAAGTGCAGTTTTGAATAAAAGAGCACATGCAGTTGTGACCGTAATCATATGTGCCTCTATGGCTGAAACAAATGTTCAATGCTGTTATAACGTGATCAAATTTTGGATTGTTTCAATAGTATGTTTGGATTATGACGCAAAACCCACCGTTGCTCAAAATGGTCAATCATGGCAGGGCGGCCTGACCAATCAGAGACACGTCGCTATGGCTAGGATGTAGGTTCACATGGGCACTCTCCTGCAAAAGATTGTGCTACTACCTTCAAATTTTCAAATTTCTAATCCCCAAAACCCAACTCCAACACTGCAATTGCAACACCATCCTCACAAGTCCACGCAAATGCAGCTAAAACTGCGGTATCTGTCGACTAATAAACCCAACTCCAACACTGCAACTGCAACACCATCCGCACAAATCCACGCAAATGCAGCTAAAACTGCGGTATCAGTCGACTAATAAACCCAACTCCAACACTGCAATTGCAACACCATCCTCACAAGTCCACGCAAATGCAGCTAAAACTGCGGTATCTGTCGACTAATAAACCCAACTCCAACACTGCAACTGCAACACCATCCGCACAAATCCACGCAAATGCAGCTAAAACTGCGGTATCAGTCGACTAATAAACCCAACTCCAACACTGCGACTGCAACACACCATCCGCACAAATCCACGCAAATGCAGCTAAAACTGCGGTATCTGTCGACTAATAAACCCAACTCCAACACTGCAACTGCAACATCATCCTCACAAGTCCACGCAAATGCAGCTAAAACTGCGGTATCAGTCGACTAATAAACCCAACTCCAACACACTGCCAACTGCAACACCATCCGCACAAATCCACGCAAATGCAGCTAAAACTGCGGTATCTGTCGACTAATAAACCCAACTCCAACACGCAATTGTAACACCATTCGCACAAGTCCACGCAAATGCAGCTAAAACTGCGGTATCAGTCGACTAATAAACCCAACTCGTGTACTGCAGCTGTAGCACCACGAACGCTAATGCACGATCTCCATTCCAGTCCCATCACTGCTTCTGCAGCGAACATCAAAACTCCACACAACCTAGCAATACACTTTCACCGCCACTTCCACCAATCCACACAACTCCAACACCGTCGAAACCAATCCACGCAACTCCTCTCATTGCAGCACCGTAAGCATCATACGCTAGCAGTCTCATCCGCACTCCACAAGATTTCATCATGCAGCTTCGCCATCCACACCTCGGCACAACTTCCCATCACAACTGCATCACCATTTACAATTTACACTCAAGCCAGCAGCAGAAGTGCACCACTTAGCACTGAAACTACACCAGCTACCGTACCAACCCTTACAGTTGCAACTCACTACACCAATCACAAAATCCGTATATCACAGCTGCAGCACTATCCGCATCCCGCTCCACTTCAAATATATTGCCCATCAATCATTTCTACTTTGGCGTATTTATTTGATATTGGAATTGATTTTGGTACATCAAACAGTTCGCCAGTGATACCCGCCAAGTTTACCTAATGGTCTTTCGCGCGAACGGAGATGATAAAATGGCTAATGCGATCTTATTTCCATGAACTACTCTTATCAAAGCCGTACACCATTCGACCAAGTGTATCGCAAGAGTTTCCGTCATACATGCAAAGATTTTCTCGCAATGCTTGGCAAGGGGCCGCAACTATCAGCAGTCACCTCAGGATGGATAATCGCACTCCTGAAGTATTAGATCTTTCGTAAGAACGATCAAGGTTCATACCGATTGTACTTCGAGGTGTTTATAGGTTGCGCATCGTATGCGGAAGGGGGGGGGGGCGGAAATGCAAGAGGCAAGAAAAAAAGATGAAAAGAAATTGCACAAATTGTTCTTGCACTCTTCGGAATTTGGCATCTTAGTCTCTCCTGCCGCAGCCGGCGCTGGGCCAGGGTCGCCTGCTACTAATAGAATGGTTGACTAGGTTGACATCGTGATGACACTGAATTACACTCAATAACTAAAGTGTGAATTCAT